ACCTTATCGCTCAAGGAGGGGCCAGTGGCCTTATGCCCCCCTCCCTTCCGGACACGACCGTGCTGAGAATGATCCAAGGCAAAAACACCCATCACTGTGACCTCTGGCACAGCATCTAGAAAGGCTCCTCATTAACAGACAAGCGCGTTGTAACCGGTAGAAGTAAAAGCTTATAATTGTCACCAGCGATAGGTAACACGTTTCTATGACAGAGAATGGTCTCTAATGAAAGCTTTTGCACATCGGGAGTTTTAAGAAATAACGGCCGCTTCTTTTGGACTGCACCTCGAACACATTAAAGTGTGTCATAAAGTTGGTGAGAGGAAGGCACGTGCCCCCGGGAACTACCATGTATGTAAGTCCCAGCGCGATAAATTCCTGGTTACAGATGAAGCTTAAAGAGCTATGAATCCCTACAACTCCCTTCGGAAACGTGACCTGCCTCTCCGTCACGTGGAGACGCAACGTCCTTTACTATGTCGACCAGCCCATTGCCGACATGCCTACTCTACAGCGACATCATAAACCAAGCTGGCGCAATGTACAGAGAGCCAATAAAGAAGCCGAGGTCTGCATCAGTCACGCCAACTCTGGTCACTACGAAACACATCAGAATGTGCGTCACTCGCGAAGATCAAACGATCGCTGGACAACGCCATCGCGGTCGACCGGCTCGGCCCCCTCAGCCGTGAGTCTGCTGCTGCTGATGACGCCAATATGACGGCGCCTTTGGGAGCAACTGGCGCTGGCGAGGTCAAAGAGCCAGCACGGCCAGCAGCGGCGCTGTCAGAGATGCAGAACGCGCCGGGACGAGGTGCTGGCCAATGTCGACGACTCGACCGGCCGACGCGCCTGCCGGATGTCACGACCGCCCAGCGGGGGGGGGGGGGGGCCTGATGCTGAGGTGGTCCAGGCCGCTGACCTGATATTCCTGGGTGGTGGCCAGTTTGCCAGGATTAACTGCGGCCCTGCATGCTGCACTAGACCCCACAGGCATCCCGTTCGTGGTCGTCCTATTGCCCTTTGGTAACGCCAGCTGGTATTATCGTGCCGTGACAGGCCATTTTCTTGGTTAGACGTGCTTTCTGCTGCTGTCTTATGCCGGCCTTGTTTCATTTCTGTGTGCCCTACTTGTGGTGCCATGGAGGGGGGGGGGGGGGTGAGGAAGGCGTCCTATCCATGCCTTTTTCCTGTAAATCGGCCCTTTCTCGTTTGACGAAAGTTTTGTGCGAATGTTTTGTGCAGTCTCCTTTTGTACTACCCAAGGTCAGGTAAAAACGTGGTACATAAAAATATCATGCTATTGGTGCTGCATTGGGTACGCATACTAGTATGCTATTTACCTACCATAAGAGTTCGAACGAACATTATGTTAGCTCCCTATTTAGACGTAAGGGGTCGGTATTCTGTATTAGTAAGACGTACTTGTAAGGTGTAAGCCGTAAGAATATTAAGGCAAGGGGCTGATCACGAGCAGGGAGCTTGATAACCGGCAGGGAGCTCGAGAAGGTTTTAAGTGATCGAATATGGAAAGACATGAGATTTCACTATAAAATTAGCAGCTGAAAAGCCGAAACACAGCCAGGCCCGGTCACCCCTGATCAATGTTTCATACGGCTTTCAGGAACACTAATGTATTTCTTTTAAGTATGCGTGGTGTTATGCTATTTACAATTGTATTCATGCTGTTTGGGCGGCGCTGATTTTCTTCCAGTTTGACAATCTAAACTAAATATGTAGCCTTTCTCATGCGAGCAGCTTAAGAAAGGTATAATTTGGCATTCGCAACAAAATGACGGAGCAGGCCGAAACCTGACCCAGCCCTCCACAGCCCATCATCACATTGCAAAACATTTTACTGAGGAGAGAGTGGAAAGTCATTCTGCCAACAGTATGTTCGATATCGGCATCCGGTCACAAGCTTTTGAATACCATTGCCATGGATGGATCCGCCGGTTTGGGGCACAGCCAAGGGCCGGACCGTTATGGAGCGCTTTTAAGGGCTGATGGCAGCTCGTTGCAGCCAGAGCAGATAAGACTGAGCTAAGTGTAAGTGTACAATTTCAATTGGCTAGGGATCTCAAACACCGTTCGACCTGCGGATGCGTCGAAGTGACCTGGAAGCAGCCGACGTCATTTTCCCCGAAGTCGTTTCCGAAGTTACAACGCTCTGTCTTGGGCCCCCTCAGCCTTGCCCCTCCAAAACCTGTAGGTACATTTGTATAGCCCATTTATTGTGATTAATACCTAACCAAAATTGTTGACCTTTCGTGGTATTTTGGACGCAATGGCTAAAAGCAATAACCATACAGCGGTACCGATTTCGTCGATTGAAATTGTCGTGCCCATTGGCCATATCTACCAGCCTGTCAATTGCTATACATGCTTTTTAAATTTAAAGCACCTACATCGCATCAGCTAATCTCCGCCTGCTAAACATCCATCAATGCGAGCTTTTCAGCCGAATCATTAAAACTTACAGGATCGGTGTCTTACTTCATTACATTTTGTTTTGTATTCTAAGCAGGTGAAATTTTTGGCAAGCAAAATAAAAAAACGCGATATCGCTTTCGGCATTTAACTGGAGAAGACGAACAATCGTATTTTGCTCCGCTTCTCAGGTAACCACAGACCACCAATGTCTTTTACAAAAATATTTTCTTGCCAAATTGCATTCTGACGACAAGATACTTGATGAGGTTTCTTTTGGCAAAGCTGACGCAACTGGGCATTTATGTGCATATATCACCGATAATTGGCAACCCAATTAAAGAGACCTTTGAATTATCCCACTAAGCTAATTGGCCAAGGCTTCAACAGAGCGCACCTTTTAAGCCAATTAAACAATTACTATTGTTATTCTTAACCCACATTTGAGGAAACCACCAACGTTTAGAGCAACAATGAAATGAAGCTGCAGATAACGCCGCTGCTGTTACTTTCATTTTCACCTTTTGTTCATCAAACCCAGTCCAGTAGTGTCGAGACTGCATGTAGTGGAATTTATGTCATTTACTTACCGTCTCCCTCACTACGTGGGGTACTAATACAATAGTAAACAACTCAAATGGCAAGTCAAAGAAGATAAATCTTCTGCAACGTTGATGGTACTTGCGTTATGCCTGTTCGCTATCTTGTGTGTAGAGAAACACCATGGAAAACCGCTGACGCCCCTCAGCGGTAATATTTGGTCGCTTTTTGTGCTCACAAGAGTTCCGTGCCAGGAAGTTGTCATCTCAGGACACGCAAGGCTAACACGCGCTCAGGTGCGGGCTCAAATTGAACCGCCCGAAGGTTTTTCCAGGATGGTTTGCGAACAGCGCGGAGTAGTCGCACCAAATTTTGCATAGCTATAGAAAATTGAATAACGGATCGTTTGGTGTCACAAATTAGATATACCTTGTAAGGTCGCTAGCCTATGGCAGGTTAAATTCAGGCCCTGGTTTCAGCGAAGTCAGTTTTTAGGAAATCGTTCAATCTGATGCAACAACGGAGTATTAGATGAAGCCATACATCTCTGATAGGGTTTCTTAGGCAACAAAACAATTGAATGAGCAAATTACATTAACCTAAGGTCAGGTATGAAGGTCAGACCGAGGTCAAAACCAGCCTGTTTTACTACTCTAGGGCTTGCTGTATAGGATAGCTTCTGATGCTCATTTCGAATTTATTGATAGCAGACACCACATTTTACATCTTCTATGTACTTATTAGAGGTCAGAATAGGTCAATGACCTAAAATGACTCAGGTCAGCATTTTGTTTTTAGGAGCATACTGCCTATGCAAAACTCGCAGCAGTTTTGTATGATTTCGGTCACCATGACCTTCAAAAGGTCAAACAAGGTCTCTGACCCTTAATAAGCATGTGAAATTTTGCTTAGAAACAGTAACTTACGTTCTGGGGGGCAATTTGGAGACCAACCTGAAATTTGACCTTGTTTGACCTTATTTGACCCAGAAGATCATGACCTAGGAACCTCAAACTTTGACATAAGTGAGCTCACATACGGGTCAAAACACCCTGTAAATTAGGTATCTGTAGCTCTCTTAGTTTTCGACATCTCAGGGGGCTCAAATTGGCCCCCCACCCGAACGAAGGGTATCCAGCCGGCCACCCGGGCGCGTGTTAATTATGATTTTACACGAGGAGATCCTCCGGTAAAACCGCTCCAAAATTTACTTCCCCTAATTAGGCGGTATCAAAATCATGCATTTCTGATGGAAACATGTCAGCGGATCATTGCCAACGACGAGATCATCCAATTTCACTGTGGTCCAACGCAATGTTCAGGTTAGCAGGCAACGCAAATAAAATATAAACCGCTTGAATCAACACAATCGGTTTGCTTCTCTATGGTGCAAGGAAGCGGCTCAAGTTCGCTTGGATCCCTGTCAAACAGAGGAGACTGGCACGTGCAAATAGCCGCCAATCAAGGCAACCCACCAATGTAATTCGATTGTAATCGACTCTTTCCCGAAACAGGTGACCATTTCATTCCAGCACGAGGCCCTGCAAAAACGCAGTGGACTTTTATCATGCGCGCCAGCGTTGCACTTTTTTGTTTACACACATTTGGTGCCTTGTCGTGTTATCTATGCAGCACTAAGCCACGAGTGCCGAGGCAATCGACTTGTTTTTGGAAGGTCAAATCGTAGATCCGCAAGTCTTGTCAGACCACTTGTGAACGGATGAGTTATCTACCCTGACGAACAGCAGCCATGGATAGCGCAACCTCAAGGCCTGAGAAGGCCGTGCTCTCGATCATCATCAGAAGCGGCAGGAATTGGGTACGCAACACTGTCACAAATTCGCTCTCATGGTAATACTGTATCGTGTTGCATGGCAACTTTGCATGACATTTCATAGGCTCTTTTAACTGACATCGACTGCGATATCGAGTGGATTGTTTCGTAAGTGTTGATGGTCAGCACGAGTTTACCCGATCATTGTGTTGTCTGGTTACCCAGCACCTAAAGGTTACTCTCCCGTGCCGTTCAGAAAAACCAAAAAGGAGAGCCGCTTCAGCCGTGCGTCTTGAGATGCGAGTACGGCGATGGAGTCACCATCGGCGAGTCGCCGAAGGTCGCAGTTGATGCCAACGGCTGCGCGGATATCGACTTCACGACCACCATCGCCATCGATCAGGAAGTAGCAGATTGGAACCAGATGGCTAACACCCCGCTCGTGCGTGAGTTCCTCGGGACTCAGTCATTTTTTTAGGTTTAGTTGGACCTTTGTATTGTATGTATTTCTGGGATTAGCACTCTGCTTCACATCACTTGTTCGGTCAGCCCTTACTCCATCACCCGATCGTGAAATTCTGAGTTAACGGCAGAATTTTGCGGCAAAACGAAAGCTCAACGTGCTTAAATGTTCGGCACAGTCCATCCTGCCGTCTTTGACGTTGTCGGACATTGAATTCGGCTACTGCCAACAGCCGCAAGTCATTAGAGTGTCTAAAGTAAGAGTGACTGAAGATTACATTAAGAGTGAATCAAGCGACTCGAATCCAGCACACCAGAGGCGCGTAAATCGGGCGGTAGGCGCTCTTACCAAATAAGTTATGGGGACACGTGGACAGTTAGCTCAGCTTCTGGCGGAGAGTTATTTTTTTATCATTCGTTGCCTGGAATGGGCAGGCTTAGATGCGAGTGCGTGAGGGGTGCATCAAAACTAAATACTGGGAGAAAACGGGAGATAAGGCAACAGGTGCACGCGGAAAGGGATTGAAGATATCAACAAGCTTGACTTTTTAGTTTCTGGAGGGAGAAGAGCATTGCGTTGCTAAGCAAATAGCTTTACAACCACAGCCAAAGCCGATCAGTCTAGAAATTTGAGATGAACAAACTGCCTGATGCTCCACACAAATGCTAGATGCAATTGCTACGTTATCAGTTTTTAAGTACAGGCGATCTTGCACTAACTGAGACAAAGCAGACAGTGTTTATTTGGATTGCTGAATATCTTGTGACGTGCTTCGTTCGTACATTCGTTCGCTCTAACTCGCCGTAACAACCAGTGCACTTCCACTGTCTTCATGCAGTTCTCCTCATGGAGTCTTCTGTCAAAGAATCCAGGAAAAAGAAGAGCCCCAGTTTCAACAAAGTCGGAGTGGCTACTATTGACCTGCTTCCTCTTCTCTTCGGTAAGTGCACCAACCTCGCAGCCTAATACAGTTAAATCATTTTGTTTGGGCAAGCGCATGATTGCATTCAGCCCCCCCCCCCCCCCAACAACCGACACGAAGCCCCCACCGTGTTCCCGCCACGTCGTGCGCTGTGTCGGATGCGCTGAACTAAGAGGGAAAGGGATATCACTTCGTATGCTTTGGGGACGCTGCAACCACCCGGGTGGTTTCAGATCTTAGAGGCAGGCCTGTTGCCATGTATGCTTGGAAAGAAATGTTTAATAACTTCCATAACCTACCTGATAAGGGTCAGTTAACCGCCGAGCGCGTGCCTCAAATATTTGGGAAAAATATAACACCGCGCTGGACGCTTCAGCTCATATCGCTATCGCTTCTCACTCACCTAACTGCTGTGGCCATGATAACCAATGTCGAGTTCCTGGCACGGTTGTGGATTTCTCAAAATGATGGGGGGGGGGCGAGCGGTGGAAGTTGCCATAAAAGGACAGGCACCAACACCTGTTTCGGATTTCGTTCACGTATGCTCTGGCTCCCACTAGGAATAGCGATATGCATATATATATATATATATATATATATATGCATATATGTATATACATATCATGTTTGTGTGTAATAAAATGTAATATCTATATAAAATGTGCGTAATAAAATATAATCTCTGTATATAATGTTCATAATACATGTATATATATATAGCGTACACCTGCAACATGCTTTTTGAAGCTCACATGCGTGGTCAGAACGATCACATATGGAAACCTTGCAGTTAGCATCAGCTTCTTAAAAACGGACTTGTTTTGTAAAGCTGAAGGGTGTGAAGCTGTTTTGTGAAGCTTCACTTCTATCTTGCATACCGGAAGGTGAAAACGGCTCACAATTTACCATGATGAGCCTTAGTAAGTTCTTGCGCATCTATTTGCATATTCGCAAGAAAAGTGTCCACAATATATGCAGCCATCACAAATAGCGTGCAACACAGATTCTCGACACACCAAAACTTTACCGATAAGCCATATGCCTTTCAGTCAGCGATGTTACGTTATTTACGTTCGGGGGGAAGCTTTAGCCCCCTCCCCCAAATTACCAAATAGTATCATGTAGGTACCCGTCGTTTCTATCATGCAAACTCCTTCATATGTTAAGGAACTCTGCAAATGTTTGACAAGTTTTTTTCAAACGATAACGCCTGTATTAGTATGCAGGACAATTGACTGCAACGTGCCGCAGCTTTTAAAAGTACAAGGTGGCTCAGATAAAAGTGAACTCACGTTTTCCCTCACGGTGGTAAGTGTGTTTGCGACAGTTGGAGCTAGCAACAACACGATCAGCGACAGAGATAGTGATCAGTGATCCAGTACTATAGTTTAATACGACATTTCTCTGTGAAAAGGTCACCCCACTCTTAGCCTTTCACAAAAAGGTAACTCACGTTTACTTGAAATTAAAAGTCATTCATCCACAGGAAATAACCTTGGATAACGACAACTTTTTAATTTCAATATCGAGGATGCAAACCCAAGTGGCTGAAATCCGGTGAGAAACCAAGCTTTGGGTTGGGTCAGGTCAACCTTTCTGGCTGCCCCCCCCCCCCCCCCTCCCGCAATCGATTTTAGTAACTGACACCTCTAAATTCAGTCAATCAAAAGGAAAACGTCAACACCACCCCACCAATCATTTCGGAGATCCTCGGCGTTTTCCCACACATATGTAAGCGGAGAGGCCCCACTGCTGAGAGTGCCCTCTCTGCTTGGCTACAAGAATACGCATCGTGAGCCTCCTGCATTTCTGGAATACTTTGTTCCCAGCTGTTGTGCTTCGGAACGAAAATCGAACTTCAGCCGCTTCAGTTCGAAGGTGATGGGAATGAAATGCCTGTCATTCCAATGTTACGCGCAACGTAGATTGATTGTAGCAACGTTTCTAGTTGAGCTGGCTCTTCAGTGAGCATCTGATTATGATGATGTGCGCATACTCGGTGCTCAATCAGTTCACCCACGCCTAACCGCTGTCAGGGTCTTGGTATTGAGGCGTGGGGGGGGGGGGGGGTAAGGGCAGGGGTTTAACCAAGGGTGAAAAGGTGAAATGGTGGAAAGCATTCTGGTCAAAGGCCTCACCAAAACAACTGCCAGTATGACCGTCTTGATTTTGAGAGACAGGATTTTTTTCGTATATTTCTTTGAAATAATAGTTACACTTGAAGGAGAAGTTGGAAAGTGCTGAAGGATATGATCCTGTTGGCATTTGGAGTGAGTAAACTGACGGCATCAGGCGTTAATGACTGCATGGAATAAGCGCCGGCGCTTTTCACTTTACTTCGGTTCGGTAGATTATTTTTAAGCCGTTGGCACTCAGGGACTTTGTTCGGATTTTCGCTGGTTTACCCAGAGACATTGAGCCTGTTCCCGTCGCTCCTCTAACCTCCACTAACCTCCTCAAAGCTTCTTCAAACTCTGATAGCTCCCGTGGTTCCTTCAACCTCCTCCACACTCCTCAAACTTCGCCTCGAACCCCCTCCAATCTCTCCGAAATGAAAGGTGGTTTTTCGGAGGAATTTGAAGGAAGCTGTGTTAGACATAAGTGGCTCAGTTCATTCATATCTCCATTTTTTTTTGTTGTCACAAAACGGAAGCAAGGGACGGGTGTATACATTGGTGCGGGTAGATTAAATTTTAAGTCCGTTTTAGCTTTGTGTTCGACGTTATGCTTATGCATATTTACCATTTTGAATATATATTGGTCAGTAAACTCAATGTTCAATATCGTTCACCATCAGCGCGCCAGAGCTGTATGGTTGAATTGCGCGGAGCCAGCTGATACCCGTATCCTCCAAAACCATTCCAGTGGAAGCAGATTTGACAAATGTTCAGTGCTCCTCCATCTCGCTCCAAACTAATATCACCTTTTTTGAACGAACGGCAAGAACTGCCCCATTGTGAGTGTAGATGAGAGTGAGCATGGATTGTAGATCGACACGGCGGCTGACATTTACGTTGACATGACCAATCCATGTTCGTATGGACATAATCAGCCTTCATTCAAAACAGGAAAGTCGAAGAATCACATAACTTAGGTCGAACAATCACATTTTTACCATGCGTGCTTGTAAGTCTAAGAAACAAAAATTCCGATGCTCAGCGTTGCAGCGCCCGTAAGACCCACCTCGTCAGCCCCACGGCTAACACTAAGCAACGGCCAGCGGGCGATCGAAAATGAAAGCGTTTCTGAAAGAAGCAAGTAATGCTGCCAAAATTATGGCCTTGGAATGCTAACCACGGCACAAATTTTTACGGACATATGTTCTTTTTAATACTAAAAACCAAATTAGCTTGGTTGGTATTATTGCAGCCTCGAGTATATATCAGAATACAAGATATCGGCCGCCACCATCTTGAATAATAGAGAAGTTCCTGAACTAGATGACATAGGTTGTCGAACAATATCGCTTCGTAAGGGCTATCATGGGTGGGGTGCCCAAGTTATGGGTTTATTTTTGGTCCACAAGGTCTAACTCAACGCCAAGTTAGGGGAGACATATCAACCTCAGAGAAGGCCTTTGACGTACAGTGCCACATCTAAAGAGACTTTGAGCGCAGTACTACCAGCGAGCACCCGTCACATTCCTTTACTTCTTTTCATAGTCATCATCACTATGTACATCTAGCTCCCCGTCGTTGTCTTCGATGTCCATCCGCTTGCTGGAGCAACGACTATGACACGCAAATCCTCCCTAACACTTGCAGCAGTCTGTACGCCGAGGGCCTGCTTTGTGGCTCCTAAAGCTGCAGCGTGCAACACTGCATGACTTGCTTTCGGCGGCGTAGCTGCACGTCACTACATCCAGGAGTGCTTCGGGAGTAACTGCTATTGTTGAGACGGTCGATATGGTGGCGGGACTTTGACACTCCGACCGACGTCGACAATATATCCAGCTTCTCTTCTTGGGGGGGGGGAGGCTGAGATCACGGGGAAGCTTCTTCAGGAGGTGGGGGGGGGGGGGGGGGCTATGAATGTAATGGGCCAATGGAGTCCTCAAAATTTCGGTCAGCTCTTTTGTGGTCCCAAAAACTGGCCGGACGACGCGGTGCAGCAACCGGCCGAGATCAACGAGTGTCTCCAGGAGTGCGCACCCGCCTGAAGCTCCTCCTCGGCACGCTGGCGAAGATGCTTAATCTCTCCCACGTGTTAGCTCAGGCAGCGCGCACGATTGTGGTGACCTGCCACGAGGGAATATGTCAACATTGACTGGAGACAGTTCTGCTGAAATGAAGTGTTGTTCCGCCCTCTGCGCAGGAGCATGAGCGCCAGCAGCGTAGGCTTGAGCTGATTTGTATGTATTTGTCATACATATATATATATATATATATATATATATATATATATATATATATATATATGTATGTATATATATACTTAATTTTACTTAAACGTTTCTGGTCAGATGCTCTTTGGCTACCTCCAGATAGACCCTCAGTTGTTGGCATGTTTTGGTGCTTTTCGAGTACAACCTCTGCAGCCAAATGGCTACTGTGAGGTGTCTCCTACCCGTCCCACATACCAGATTATGCAGCTGCAGCGCTATAAGGGACCTTCCAATCTGGACGCACCTCAGCTCTCAACAAGGCTCTGCTCGCTGAGGAGTCACGGATACATTCCACTGCCGTCAGCTTCAGTCTGCAGTGAAACACGGCATGACTGTCGAAAGTCCACGAGACTGAACAGCCGGCTGGTTGAACGGGTTCCAATGCTCAGCAAGACTGACTGGTGGCGGGCTCTGCCCTGAAGTCCAAGACACTGGTGGTGTTCGGGCCGGTGGTCGAGTAGTTATTTGACAGTCAGACACCCTTGTGTCTATGTTTTTGTGTCATGAAAGGACTCTCAATGCGATCGGGATGCAGCACACTTATCCTAAAGCCGACCTCCACTTGTATCAGACTGCATACCTAATCTAATCTCAAGACCCTCAGCACCGGACCAACCTTCTATTTTACTCACACGGGCATAATGCATCCTCCCATAAGTGTCCTGCACTGTGCGGGGACACTGCTTAGGGGATCTGTCGTGAACGTAACTATGAGCGCCGCGTTTGGTGGCGACATCATCAGCAAGACAAACGGGAAGGCCTGGAAGAACGCCTTAAGGGCATACCGCCTCATCCTCGCCTTGCTGCTGCCTTTCTTTTACTTAATGCCAACAAGTCATGTCAGGAGCTGAGCGACTACGAACAGTCAGCCCGAGAGCACTCGACCGGGAGCATGTCGGCAGGCTCTTTGGTGGAGGGACGAAGCACGGGTATAGCACAGACCCTAATGTAACAAGGGACATGGTATTGAGCATCACCAGGATGCAGATCAACCACCCCACTGAGAATAAGCGCCATCACTCGAGCCCCAGAGGCTCTCTAACTGTTATACTATGCTTGCTTGTACGTAATTTTGCTATGGGAACGGTCTTATGCTGCTTGACCTGTACCTAGCTGCGTTGGTCCAGCTGTCCTTCGCATTACACTGTTTCCTAGACAGCAGACAATCTCGCTCGAAATAAAACTCACTACAGTTGGACTTAAGCAGCCTTTTGGGAATCACTTCATGATCCCGCGAAGGCTTCCTTGTTTCACTGTTTCCACTCCTCGATATATAGCTAAAGTAGCATAATTGGCTAGCTAAGATATCGTGTCCTGGCAGAGTTGTATGCCACTCATAGCGTATCGTTTCGCAACGACGAGTTTCTGAATGGACACTATAAAACATCCTTCAATACATGTCTATGTATGCATTATAGTCTCCTATAAACATGCGTCGTGTTCATAAGACATCATTACATATTGACATGATTTATAACACATACAGCTGCCGCGAGTCGTGCCCTTGCAATGACAACAAAAAGGCAAAAAACGGCATATGTCGATCAATATAGAGAATGCTGGTGATTTATGACAAATTTCAACCTTGGCTTTTGCTTTGACCTTGAATTTGACGGCAAACATAGGGAAAATTTCAGAAATCTCCATAATAGAAATACATATCACACGACCCTCCAGGTCGTCGAGATGAAACTTGAAACCTGGACCAACATTCAAGATGACAGCGGGCGTCATTTTGAATTATGATAAAGATTCGAAGTCGTACAAGTTGCAACCAAGCTAAGTTAGCTCTCTTAGTTACACAAAGATAGTAACAATGGAAGATTTTCGTCAAAAGTTCGTGGTAGTTTACATTGCGTGGTCCCAAATAAGAAGTATAATGATGGCATCTCGACTACACATACCCATCCAAAGTGAAAAGTGTCGTCTGTAGCACATGCATAGTGCATGCGTGTTGCACATGCTAATATAATTACAGTGCATAACACACGCAGATTCTGTGAGTGGTATCCTTACAATGAATACGAGAATATAACAAACGGCGTACATCGATCGATTCAGGGGATTCGGGTGATTCGTGATCAAGTTTGACCTTTTGACATTGGCTTTGACCACATACATTACAAAAAACTGCACAGATGGGCTCCCTGTCATAAAAATCCCTAAAAACCGATGTCATAAGATCCTCAAGGTCAACAAGAAAAAAAACTGAAACTGGACTAACATTCAAGATGGCGGCGGCCGCCATCTTGAGTTGCGAGAAATGCTCAAAGCTGCACAAGTAACAACCAAGCTAATTTAGATCTCCTAGCTACGTAGAACATATCTCATGAAAAAGTTCACGGTAGTCGGGAATGCAGGGTCCCATACAGGAGGCTTAAGAATGACAGCTCAGGTAGTCTCTAGGACATAAATTCTTTAGTTTAAAAATGCCCGGAAATATGTTTTACCCGTGCGATTTGCATACACATAATAGAGACGGATTATCATTCACAGTCCCGCAAACCGGTGGTGGATGGTGGTGGAGTTAAGACAAGTAAAGGCTGAATCTCTATTTTCGTGTTGCTGTCGCTGATCTGTTCAGAGCACAGCCTCAAAATTGCACAGGTGAAACGCATGCCATGGTATGATTTTTGACGGACGAATTTGCATTAAAGACCTTCCGAAGCATTATTTTACAATGCCTGTTCTCGCTCGCCAAGCGCCCACTGCCCGGTGTTAGCTGTAGCGGCCAACGCCGCTCGGTTTGATGGGAACGGCATCACCGGCCATCGGTGTTCCCGTATGTGCAGATCGTCGTGAGATATGTCTAACTTGAGGCGTGGAGTATTCCGTTCAGACGGCATCTACACCTGGCACAACCTCCCAGATCGGGAACCAATGAACAGAGAGCTCCTGAGAGCCATGGCAAAACGCCGTCGCCTCCGGTGCGACACCTTTGGCACTGGTGCGTAATGACGTAAAAAAGCTGTCACTATTCACATCCTCCCTTCTCCGAGAAGCAAAAACAAAACAGACACCGCACAACTCGGTCGCACAAAAGCATTGGCGCTGACAGGTCTAAACATATATCGGACACTCCAGTGGCCTCGAGACACGAGATGGCAGGAGTGGCCATGACGGCCGCTACTCTGTGAAGTTGGAATGATCAGCGTTGCGTGAAGAGTGTAAGTTGATATGCGTGACTATTAAAGGCTTCTATGGAAACCCGTGACTGGTAACCGCAAACCGGTTTCGTCGGCTGGTGTAAATCGTCAGGTGGTCATCACTGTTCCAACAATGATTCACTTCAAAGTGTAGGCTGGCACATTTCGAGGACTTTTCCGAACGCCGACAGTAAATATATCGGCCACGTTCTTTGGTCGCTAATATTCGACTGGTTTGCTTCCATCTTCCGGTGAGACGTCCTGGCAAAATAGCGCCGCTTGCTGTACTCAGTTAACTTGTTTGCACAAACAAGATCAAAGTCAACAAGGCATCTAGGTCCCGTAATTAAAAACACACAACATGCAGGACAATCAGAAAGCAATAAACACGGCACCAACGCGGAGTTTTAAAAGTGATTGCCTCAGGCACCCGCACTCGGCTGAACACGATATCGCAGTTTTCAGTTTCTTTGTTCCTCTCACCCGTAAAACTGTTGTTAGTAATCTTCTTTAAATTGATGTATTTAGAGCTCCAATTTCAACGTTTTACATACATCTTGGGTCCGGAGAGATGGGGGTGGCAGATTGACTGCTGGGGGGAAGTAGGATTTGGGGGAGGGGGGGGGGGGTCGGTGTCACTGCCAAAGGAATAACAATCGACACCCGTGGTTCCTGGGGCGAAGAATAGGGGAGAACAGGGAAGCGACGCACGTCGTCAAGAGGTCGAGGAACCGGACACCGGCGGGCTGCAGGCTGTCACGCCTCGATCGGGCTGCTGGGAGACGCGTATTGTAACCATGCCGCTAAATGGTCGCATGCTGGCCATCATCATTGTTTTGTTAATAGCAGATGACAGGCCGCTATGTGGTTCGGGACATGTGGTCCACCAAACGAGCATTTTTACTTTTGCCGGGGTGGATCATTTATAAAACTCTTATTACCGTCAGAGCATCTCTGCCATTCACAGACGGTAGGCCGCTTCCGGATATTGGGGCTTCCAAACAAGTGATTTTTTGCTTCTACTGCTATCAGACCATGTTCATTACTGAAAGCAGCTTTTCAACCCCGGAAATCCCAAAAATCTGACCTAATACGACTGCTGCGCTCTATCTTCGGCCGTGACGCTGCAGAATAGGTTCGACTGGTGATGACCACCGCGTTCCTGTGTGCTTTCTAGAGGACTCTTGTAAACTCGTCAATACATTATACTGCAGAGCCATTGTAGCATAAGGAGAAACTCAGAAAGGACAGCACTGATAGTCTTGTTCCTTGTAGAACAACCACGAGAATGGGGAGATAAATGCATTGATATTTCGGTTACATGCCTCAGCTATAGCCAACGAAACGAATATGAAATGAATATGGTATAAGACGAATATGATGCTCGTTTCGATAAAAACATGTAGCCGAAATATGAACACATGTGTCTCCCCATTACCCCGGTTATTCTACAAGGACGTAGACTATAAGTACTGTCCTATCTGTATGTATAATTGTCTTCGCAAATTCACTTGGCAACTAAGGTATGGAGGAACTCCCGAAAGATGGAAAGATACAAAATGAACAAGGAAGCTTTGTCGCATCATTCTCGACAATAAACTAAAAAACGATGTTTTCGTAGGCCAATCTCTTAACGTTCCATCCGGCACCCCATTACTCCAAGCACTCCAACAGCCATGTCCTATGTTCTGTGGTCGTTTTCCCCTTTCAGACCCCTCCTCACCCCCCCCCCCCCGCCCCTCACCCTCTCCTGCCCCCACTAAACCAGATCGGCATGGTCGCGTCCGCCTTCAGAGCCGGCCACCGGCGAGCAGTGGCACAGGTTCGCGCCCGCGGACCACGTGCTGCCCGACTCTGAGCGCTGCCTGCTGCAGATGCCCGAGGCGGCGGTACGCTTCGAGACCAGCGCGCCGCTCATCCCCGACAATGTGATCGGCGTGAGTGACGTCACGTTGGCCTGCCCCCGGGGCGCGCGGCCGCCGGGACGGCCCTGCCGCCCGGTCGATATGGTGGGAGGGTCTTCTGTCATGTTGGTGATTCTGCGGCATGGCGTTACCGCCATTTTTGCGTTGCATTCTTACTTACCGTATATTTTGTAACGGAACTGTCGCCGTTGCATGGCTCATATGTTGCGGCTTGGTCGATGGTATCAAGTGACGTTGAACTGCTGAGCTGAGGCTGAGCTAAGCTGAGCTGGGCTGAGGATTAAATACAGACTCTGTCGCGTACATTGTTTTCTACAGGCCATGGAGATCGGTAATGTACAATACAGGCACAATGCACTCTTCCATGCTTGAGTGCTGGATCAGCCCAACACGGGTCCGTCCCTCCACCGCAGGAGCTGAACATGCTGACAATCACGCTGGACTCCTTGTACGGGATACCGAGTCGTCTAGAGGAGTCTTGGGAATGCCATGACTACATCACGGCGTTGTTCCTTCCCTTCGAACAGGTGAGAGCTAGGCAACCCAGTTTTGAATTCCAAACGCTTTGTCAGCATTCTTCATCTGTAGCTTATGGTTCTTCCCACGGATCGTTATGGAGCCAGTTACAGTGAAAAATGGCGAAGGTTTGGCCCTATACGTCATGCTTATGGTAAAGTCTGGACCAAAGGGAATATATATAACGCCACTGCATGACAAGGTGGCCCCTGATTCCAGAGACGCAACCAGGCGAGCTGGAAGTTTTGCTTTTTGTTACGTATGTTGGGGGGAGGGGGCGTAACGCTTTAAGTTGACATTTGAGCGTTCTAAAATTTCGTGCTCTCTGCGGCAGCCAACGCTTGAAGTGCCGGCCGGAGCGCTCACAGGTCGCTTTGTATTCGTGATGATCTGCATGATCTAAATGATCTGAAATGGAAAACAGCACTGAAAGCTGCTTTTGAGAGCTTACTCTGTAAATCCTCTTGCGAAGATGCCTCAATGTCTCCAGGATGAGACCTCTTGCTACATGGCCTCATCTGAGATCAGTTCGTCACTTCATGAAATCATGAGGGTTGACCGCCCAGCTGTGAGGGCTCTGAGACTCTTCGCTAATTTCTAAAGTTCTTTGCATGCCACCGCGGACACGTTCACGATTGACACTGCTCACGATTTTCACAAAGTTCTCACCGTACTGCCACCAGCGACATACACACAAAAATGCATGTACTTGACAATGCGTTTTAATTGAAAGGTGACACGGTAACCGAGTTGCAGCGACAGCGATTACGATTTCGTTTATCCTGAACATAAGCTATATCACATGCAGGTTTAGTGTCATTGAAGCTTATATGAAGCTTTGAGAATTTTAGGAAAAGTCATGTTTGCAAGAAGATTTTGATGTTACGTTCTCAACAAGTAATATTAAGCACTACCTACCCGCTCTTCCTGAAGCAAAGCCCAAAAAATAATCATTTCTTTTCATAAATTGATGATAAGAATAATACTGCTTTGCATACATTTTGTAGGTGTCAGATAGCACCTTAATTCAACTTTAATACCGCACTTAAAAGGAATCTCGTTCCATGAGAACAGCGCAAATTGAGCTTTGGTAAGTGCTTTTTTGTCGCATTTCTTTCGTCGAACATTTTAGAACACCATGCATTTCCACCAACGTATACCTTGTGCGGCCGCCAGATTCGGGAAAAGGAGGTGTCGGAAGCACTTTAAGGTAAGTGAACATTTCTCGTGCTTAGGCTGTGATGCACAACTACTGCTAATGCTTTGCAAATATGACACACTAGACTGGTTGGCTGATAGCCGCGGTGTCGTTCTGAAATCGATTGGGGAGGGCGGGGGGGGGGGGGGAGCGCGGCTGATATACTTGACCCAAATTGCGAGACATGGCAGACCGATCGAAGGGATGCCCGAAGCAGCTCCAATCGTGACTGATGGAGGAGGCGGGTTCTTTGGCCGGGGCAGGATTGAATCTGGTGGGCGGGGATCGGCCTCCACAATTTAGCTGGCGAACCAATCTACGCCCGCAGTACCCATACCACTAAGTTTGGAAGCAAGGTCGCAGCCATAACTTTGTAAGGGAGGGTACGGAGCTCGATGAGTGCGTATCACGCCGATATTTCACTTTCTCAGTAGCCTTCTGTCATCTGTGTTAAAAACAAGACAATGAGTGTCTGAGACTGAGGCCCTTTGGCTGTGCCCATGTTTGGGAAGCACCAGGAGTGCATTGAATCTGCGACAGGTTTCGTGTCTTGTATTACATACAGATTTTTCGGCACAACTTTACGATACTTAACATTATAGCTTATATAGGTTCAGGTCACCCAGAAATAGTCGTCCCTCACATGAGGTGCTGTGCTGCCCGGAAATAGTCTTGCAGATGGGTTCGCGACATGTGTGTTCGATCTTCCTTTGTCTCAAAACTCCCCGGTGATTCCTGTCGTTGGAACTACATCCTGGGCCATAGTTTGAAAGTTTGCGCTTTGTATTTCGTGTCCAAGATTTCTGCGGAGTTTGTGCGTATTTCGACTCGAGGGTCAGCGAAGGTGGACACTGAGCAGCCCTGAGGTTTTCGCCAAACTGATCACTACAACGGAGGGCACCAGCTGAGCGCTGAGTGTTTCATTGTTTTCTCGGTTGTTTCCATGTTGTTTCTCCCCCTATTAATGTCTATTCTGCGTCATTAACTATTCTGAAGGTCAGTAATATAATCATCTGCAGGGGCAGGTCCAGAGGGGGTGGGGTATGAAGCCATGCCATGGTCTTCTGCCATGCACCCTTGGGCCTCACGAGGCCTTGATGCTTCGAGAGCGCGCCAAAACCTCATGTTGACCGGGTACCAAAACCTTCATTTGTGGGCACCACAACCTTTATTTTCAAGTGGCACTAAGCCACAGCGGGACATGTAAAGGGCCCAGCGCCTTTATTTTACAAGATAACTTAAATCCAGTGCACCACAATGGCTTCATCGTTGACTCTGGCAACATTCTGGATTTGTCCGGTTGGTGAAGGGGTCACAAAAATGTATTTCAAGGCATCATAACCCTCATCGTCCAGGGACACTTCATGCCAATTGGCACGAGGCGGGGCCGCAGGACTTCCATTTTCAACAGGCAACAAAGTCCAAGGGGCACCATAATGCCCGAGCCTTTGCATTGATGAAATCTTCGGACAGCCATTCGGCGAGGGGGCACCGAAACATTGATTTCGGGGTACCATAACATTTGTTTTCTAAAGGCACCAAAGTGAAGCGAGCCATTCAAAGAGCCCCGAAGTCTTTCTTTCAGGTGGCAACAAATATAGAGGCACCTCCATTTATCTGACTTGCATCTTGACGAAATCCTGGATCAGCCCTTTCGGAGAAGGACACAAAAAGCTTTCTTTTTGAGACATCGTAAGATGGCTTTGCAAGGGGCATCCCATTCCAAAGGCACCAAAAAGGCCAGCAAAACATTTTTCAAGTGACGACCAATTCAAGGGCCAACAAAAATGGCCCTAAGTCTTTATCTTTCCACGAGGAGCCAGATACTAACGCTCTCGGGGCCCACGATGAATGGCCAAATTGAAGGATCGGAAAGACAGGCCGGGTGTCATGCCCAAGGGAGGCAAGCCCTGAGACCTGACCCTAAATGCTAGTCAGAGGGTCTCTTGCAGCAGTCGCGGGCACCTGAGTCAGTGCGTGTCCTATATCAGCTGACTGGGATCACCAACGTCGAACAGTCGGTTCCGTGCCGGCCCAGGCCCTAGAAGGCCTTTTCCCAAGCAAAGGCAAGGGTGCGCCTGTATATCTCAATCAGAAGGCCCCTGACATTGGTCGGACCTCTGAAACAGTGCACGGCGCCCTGTGCTGGTCAGAGGACCACGGTGCCCAACAGGGTACCCTGTGTCGACAATGGGTCCAAAGTCGACCAGGGGCACATTTCCTCAGCAGGGAGAGCTAGGTGATCCCAACTGTCAAAGTCCTACTGCGTTGATTCCAGACCGTCTCATAATGATGAGATATGACGATGCAAGCGTTCAATTTCACGATGAGATGGGGTAAAGCCACTGTGTCAGTCAGAGGTCCCAGTACCGAACGAGGTACCCTGTGCTATTTCAACCAGTGTTAGCTGCCAGGTGTTGGCTGTGAGGCCAACGTTGCGCAGCTCATGAATAATGTAACTCCGGGCATCAATCTTCTGTCTCCCTAGAATGCGAGCGCACATGCTTAAAACTTGTACGTAATTCTTCGCCGATGGATGCTACAACAGGATTCTCTTTCCCAGTCGAGAAAGGGTTGGACATATTAGTGTGATTTTTTACCTACTTCGCTCTTCGCTGCCGTTCAATCCTCGACGCCCTCATTATCTTTGTAAAACACCGAGCAAATCCCGTAAATGCTCTTTCCGTCTAATAAGTTTGAGGCAAAAAGTCTGAAAGACCAGGGGGACCATTCTGGGGGTAATTTGGGAGCGCATTCTTTGCTGCCTTTTCACTAGCAGGCCGTTTGTTAACCGTGGTGTCCCTCTCTTGCTATGGCTTAGGCTGTGCCTCTGGCCACAGTGTCTATGACGAACTCCCTGAGGTCGGTCCAGGTCAGCACAGCCAATGGGGAGGAGGATCGGCCTCCTAGACCCGCATCTCTTAAATTTTAGTACTGTAGATGGATCCTGACAGAAATTTACAAAACAATCACAGTCAAAGTCATTGATAAGAGCTCTTCCACGCGAAGGTCATTACGAATTCAGTCCCAGTGCTAACACTGAGTTGAATATGCCTGTAATCGAACCAATACAGACGATGTGGGCAAGGCTAAGGTGCGAGTGAAGTGAATTTGCCACTCGTTCGCAGGCACGTATGTAACTGGTTATGTATATACAAAATACAAATGTAAAACCGTCGTTCCGCTTTGGCGTGACGAAAAAAAAGCTGTTCATCGAAATGATTATTATGTTTTACATTTCAACGGTCTACGGCTTGAAATTTGAATAATTTACCCACGCATGTACCTAGTTGGCGACGGTACTCTTAAGATGGGCGAAAATTGTGTGGGTGTCACATTCCCCAGGTCAAATTCCTGCATTGTTTGTGCATTATTCGTACTTAATAGCAATCCAGACATCCGGTACAAGGAAAATTTGGCGGATCGCCACGTTATCGATACAAAATATTCCATACATTCCACATAGATTCTCTAATTACCACCAGAGCGTGTATTGCAGCAGAATTCTACGAACATCATTGGCTTCTCCGCTTTTTGCTACAACGAAAAGCGCTTCACCGTGCGTGTCATGCGATGTCACTTAAATCATTACGATTTTGAATTCCTGTACAAGTTACTGCTTTCGCATTTAGCTATCGGTTGTTAGGTCAGCAATCTAAAAAATGCAGCTATGCTGGTTTCATCGTACGTAAGTTAATGATGACTAGTCATTCGAGCCGTGTTATCGTGCCTGTCTTGGTCGTTGTTTATGTGACGGCACTGCCCGGCGGACGGGTCACGGGGTCCGCATTGGACCGAGCAACAAACGTAACC